TATATATATATATGTATATATATATATATATATACAGAGAGAGAGATCTTCAAAAGCGCGTTATTCATTTTAGTATCTATCAGTAACTGTACAGTGAAGTGGGGTCCATTATAGACTCATGGAGGAATTATTGGTATAAGGAATTATGATATAAAGAACTATGTATCCATTTCCTATTTATGTTTCCTTAACCTATTAAAAGCTGCACTATATTTGAAAAAACGAACTAAAAGGGATCCATTAAGGAAAGAGAGCACCACCAATTCTTTTTCGCTGATTATGACTTTATCAGGTCCCTTCGTTTTCGTCACTTCCCTTCGGTCTGTTTTATGTGTCGATAAATACCCAGTAGTATTTTTTAGACTAGATTATGTGATCGGATCAAATTCGTTCACGGATTAAATTGGTTAATAAACTAATTATTTAATTAATAAAACTATTAAAATAATTATAATTATTTATTCGTAATAAATTGAGAAATTAGTAATTCCGTTTCCTAATATTTGTTAGTGGCTATAATTTTTATTATTCTGGAAAATATTAATGTAAGCAATAAATGAGGAAAAAAAAATTTTTTGATTATTTCGAAAAGTAGCTGATCTTTTCAGATCTAAATCAAGCGAACATAATGTTCAGTTTTAATTAAAAAATAGCTTACCTTTGCAACTTTCTTAGCAACCGATGGAAGTTTCCATTTTATAATCATTCCCACTATCACTGGAGAGGTAACACTTACAAGAGATAGTGCCATTTCCTTATATGGAATCACGACCTCTTCTGATTCAAAACTTCGTCCATAGAGAAGAAGATTCCCAGGCATCAATCCCATGGCAATTACAGTTGAAGCAGTAGTCATGGCAATGCTGTGAAATATTATAAAAATTACTTCATGCAAATGCTACGTATGTGTTTCAAATCGTCTTTCTTTGAAGAATAAACATAACACCAACAGGTGAATTCTGAAAAAAATCACAATTGGGTACTTGCTCTTCAAGACGAAGAAGAAGGCCTCCCATACCGGCACATGTGACATATGCCGTCAGTGACAGCTAATCTTTATCTGCAAAATGGCGTATTTAAGTTGAGCCAAGTTGCTCGACATAAGTTAGAATGTTAATTAAATACAGAATGTTAATTAAATGCACATCGAATTAGTTAAAATATAATTCTTTCTCGTCTACTTCTTTTACTTAACTTAGATTTATTATTTGTTTCTGCATTTTATTGTAACCGTATTATATTTTTGCTTTGTGTACCTGGCAACTTCAATGCATAATTAGTTTGTTTATGTTCGACATGGCTTCGTGTCTGTCTTTGTGTTAAGTCTCTGTGTAAATGCATAGTGAAAGAATTGAAATGTTTGAGAAAGAATCTTTGTGAAAGAATTTAGAATCCGTCACTTAAGAGAATTGACAGTTAACGGGCTTACTCGAAATTGAATGGAAAGAACAGTTGCTAACGTAAACAAATGCCACGTTTCAACAACCAATCAGGATAGAGATACCCAAATTACGTTACTTGCATGTATCCCATTGAAGCAGCTCTCAAAGCAATACTGTTGAATGCATGCATTTTCATGATAATTTTACATTAAAATCTTCAAGCGCGTGCACTAAGCTGAATCTTAACTAAATGCATGCACTATGTACTTTCTGTGGAGAAAGAATACGGTGGAAACTGGTTAACTCTGTGAAAACTCGTATTTGAAGTATTAGTAATACCAATACTGAGGAATATTATAAGAATCAGTTCTTGAAATATTAAAAATTCAAACTTAAAATCTACTTTCTATAAAGAATAAAGATAACGCTAACTAGTATAATCTGTTAAGAATCATAGTTGAAGCAGTTATCATGGCAATGATGTAATATATTATAAAATTTAATACATATAAATATTATTAAGAATTTTAACTTAAAATCTACTTTCTATGTAGAATGAAGACAGAGCTAAATGGTCAACTTAATAAAAATTCATAGTTGAAGTAGCAGTCGTGGCACAACTACGGATTATTATAAGAAGGAGTGTATGTAATTACTACAAAGATCTTAAACCTTAAATCTATTTTTATAAGGAATGGAGACAACAGCAACTAATAAACTCTGTTAAGAACTACAATTGAAATAGTTGTCCTGGCAATGATATGTTATAGGAACTAATACATATAAACACTACTAAGAATTTTAACTTAAAATCTACTTTCTATGAGGAATAAAAACAATGCTAACTGGTATATTCTGTTAAAAATCACAGTTGAAATAGTTGTCCTGGCAATGATATGTTATAAGAACTAATACATAAAAATACTACTAAGAATTTTAACTTAAAATCTACTTTCTATGAAGAATAAGGGCAACACCAACTGGTATATTCTGTTAGAATCACAGATGAAATAATTGCCATGGCAATGATGTTATAGATTTAAGGAATTAATACACATAAATATTATTAAGAGTTTTAACTTAAAATCTATTTTGAATCTATCTAATGAAGAATAAGCACAAAGCCAACTGGTATATTCTGTTAAGAATCACAGTTGAAATACTTGTCATGTCAATGATGTATTATAAAACTAATACATATAAATACTACTAAGAGTTTTTAACTTGAAATCTACTTTCCATGAAGAATAAAAACAATGCGAAATGATATATTCTGTTAAAAACCGCAGTTGAAATAGTTGTCCTGTGAATGATATTATTTATTATAGGAATCAATACACATAAATACTACAAATAGTTTTAACTTAAAATCTATTTTGAATAGAGGATGAAGACAGCGCTATTTAATGGATTCCGTGAAAAGCCACAGTTGAAGTAGGAGTCTAGGCAATACTGCTGAATATCATAGGAATTGGTGCATGTAATTACTACGAAGAATTTTAATTTAAAATCTGCTTTGTATGAGGAACAAAACTAATGCCATCATATAAATTCTAAAAAAAATGATTTAAAACTTACAGAAGAATATTAGCAGATGCAGTACTTAGAACTTAATTGTTGTCTCTAACTTCAGCGTGAAATTAAACATAAGAATTTTTACACCACTCTTTAAAACCAATTTTAAAGAAAAATTTCTTTCAAAATATCTATATTATGTAACATGGTCCTTATTTTTTATAATATTATTTTTCAAAGAATTAAATGAAATGAAAATATATTTTCTTGTTGATGAAAGACTTTATTTTTATACCTTTTGGAATATAGGCTATACTAAGTGAAACGAAGAACCTCATTAACGAAACTTTTTAAATTCTTTAAATTTCCATTTAAACATTTTTTACTGTTATTATTGTAGTTTTTTTTTTAAATTACACAATAAAAAGCTATGCATAGACAAAATATGAAATTTATGTTTTAAAAGATAGGTAGATGAGAGATGTATGTTAAATTGTATAAGACTTGTATCACTATTTAAAAACAATAATTCCTACATTTAACTGATGATACAGGTCATATGTAAATTATTTGACAACATTTGGCACAGACATTAAAGTAAACTTATTAATGAATGCGACATGAATAATTTTAGCGACAATAGTCTGAATCTTAAATTTGCCCTTTCAACTTTACCAAATCAGATTTTCGTGGTACTTTCTGTTACATATTAAATTTTACAACACGTGCGGTACATATTCATTTTTTCAATTATTCAGTCTAAATATAGGTTTTAAGGAAATTTATACACTAGCTTAAAAGTTTATATTTTAGTTACTTTAATATTTTAGTTATTTTAATATAAAAATTTTAAAGTAAGATTACATTTACAATTAACTGCAGTTTGCTAAGAACCAAACGCTTTCTATGCAAATATTTTGGAAGTATAGAAAATAATAATTTATTTCGTAAATATTTAAATTAATTAATAATAACTAATGTTTGGAATTAACTTATAAATTATATAGTTTATTAACTATGTAAGCGTATTAACTGTGTAGTATCTTTTTTATAATACCAATGGCAACAAAATGGGTTTTCTTAGTTATATGTTACAAATAATCAGTTATAATACTTTACACTCACAATGAGTTAAGGTTCATACAGAAGTGCTTTTCAAAAAATGCGATGAACTCTTACTGTAGATTTTCATAAAAAAAACAAAAAAATATCCATATTTTTAATTATTTATTTTAAAACTATATGTTACCTAAGTCCTAAGTCTCCATCACAAAAATAAGTGAAAGTGTTAGAAAGGACTCCCCCAGGGCAACAGGCAATAATAAGCACGCCAGTAGCATGTAGTCCACTGATGCCGGAAGCCAGTAAAATAAGATAAGCAAACAATGGCTTTAAGATAAACTGGCTAACTAAACCAATTATTAGGCCGATTGGTCTCTTAATGTGTACCCAAATCTGAAATAAGAAAAAAAAACATAATATTAATTTAAAAATTACAAAAACCTTCATATTTTTTATTAAAGAGAATGAATCTCACGGCGAAAAGTTTAAGTGAAGGTCTTAGGGTAATACAGCAATAAGCCATTTTTTTTCTCATACTGTGCAGGGGAGCATTTACATAGAGTTTTATGAGGAAAAACTTAACGATTTTTAAAGAAGCAGCATGATGTTTCTGCGCATTGTGCTTGCATTAAAAGATAATTCTGGAAACGTAAAAAATTACATATCAGGAAATAAAACTAAGAAACTGTGTGCCCTATCAGCCTATTGCTATAAGCCTTTCAATGTTATTACAAGATACTGCAAATTCTTCAAGATTTCTTTTTTTTTTCAACTTTTAGCAATAACTTTTAGCGTCATTCAAGCTTAGCGATATTTTGCAGTTTACTAGGTAAGACTGAAATTTGTATCATTTTCATGAGTTATAATTGGTAATTTTTATTTTAAAACTAAAACTCTTAAGTTAACGAATTAAGTTTGCTGTCAAAAATTCAAAGTATGAAAATAAATACCATAATTAAAAGGGGTAGTTAATGGAATTATATTCTAACTAAATATCCCGCAAGCCTAACTAATTTAACTACAACGTAAGGAATTAAGTAATAATTTACTAAGAAATTAATCATCTTTTTCTGGGGTTACATTACCGTCGCCGTAATTGAGTGTGTTTTTAATTGTATTAACCTTGTATATCAATTAAATTAAGTGATTAACTTTGATAAATGATTTTTTTTTACTAAAATTTCATAGTAAATAATTTATATTACTTAATCTATCACATCTTTCAATCTTTGCTCCGTATGGTTTGCTTATAGAAGATATCTGTTTTAAAATTAATAATTTTTAATACTTAATTTTACGAACTATATCGATGTATGTACTAGATTTTCAATAAATGAATTTTGAAATTCCTTTGATATAGAAATAATCCAGTAATAAAGTTTAGTGAATTTGCATTTTTTTTTAATTAATATTTTTCAAATTTTGCGAATATACCGTTTCTCTGTAAATCGGTGCTTTCTAAGTGATTTGATATTTTCTATATAAATTAATATTATTACTTACTTGATACTATTTGATTTGATTTCGACCTGGTGCATTGTGCTAAATTTTTCAATGTTTGGAACCGATTATTTTGTTGTAAACATTTGTATATTTGTGTTTTAAATTGTAAATTTTTTATTTGATTATTCAAATTACAATCTTTTTGTTGAAAACCAGAACTTTGAGAACTTTGTTATTTACTCTATTTGCTCTTCCTTTTTTTAAGTGTCCTTTAGGGGTGGGTGGATGTAAGGAGGGTGTAGCTATGTTTATAATGTGCTTTACGCAAAACGAATTATTTTAGTTGAATAAGCTAAATTCTGAAAGATCCTTGTCAAATTAAATACCCGCCTCCAAATAATAAAGGAAAAGATTAAATTTACGTAAAGCATGTTAACCTACAAATATACAATTCGTCAGAAAGCAAGTTGAAACATGTAAGAAAGTAGATGGTATTCTAATTTAGATTGTCAGTTTTAAAAAATTTATAACAGAAAAGCAGTTAAGAATTTTAAAAAAAAATAAATTTTTGAAGCAAATTACTATAACATGACACACATTTTACTCCCATATTTTTTGCTTCAATTGAAAAGTTTTCAACAGATGGCGTTGCGACCTATAAATCAAAGAAAAACAACTAAAAATCTCATCAAACTTTTTTGAAATCTCTCAATGAATAAAAATTACGTAACGAATTTTTCGAATTGTTCACTATTAGCCATAATTGCATGTCGTAATCGAAAAAAACATTATCGAAAAGCTTTATAAATCAAAACACAAAAGAAAAACAGCCAAAAAAAAAAAGAATTGCAGCGCCATCTATTGGAATTTTTTTTAACTGAAACCGAGAACCACGAGAGAAAAGTTTATCCTACGACGCATAAATTTTCCGCAAATATAATTTTTTTAATCATAACTGTTTTCCTTTTATGCATTTTTGAAAACCACCAAACTAATTTAGAACAATCGTAAAATTAACTATTCATGCGACTAGTATTGAACAAAGTACGAACAGGTTAAAATATTTAGGATAAAATTAAATTATTACGTTCATCCACGTGACTTCGCATCCCATAGCCAGCATAACGACTATAAGGATGATCAACATAAGGTAATCTACCACTGGCTTGATGTCATCTTTCCAAGAAGGCTCCGGAATAGTGTTATTGTAATGGCTAGAATTCCCCAAAGCATCAAAATTTGTCATCGACTTATTCGTAGTTCCATTGAAAAGCTCTTCAAAATAAGTCTCCATTTTTTTCAGATGTGAATTATTTCTGGTGGGAAAAAGATTTTTAAGTACTAGATATGAATTATCTTAATGTTTTTTGTCCATACACCTCCTGGGCAAGAAATCGTCAGCTTTTTAAATATTTCGATGTGTTGCTGCCACTTGAGTAACTGAGCCTTTCTTTCTTATTTTCTAACCTGAAATAAACGTTAACAGTTAAAACCACGTTTTTTTTTCAATATGCATAGCGAGAAATGTTTATATATTTGCAAAATAGTGCATAATATTTATTAATTGCAGAAAGGTAATATATACGCTTACAAAACATAATCATAAGGAAAAGATCTAAGAGTTATTGCTCCGTCTTAAGTAGACTTGTCCTTATTTCAAGCGAGATGAAGTGATAAATCACCAGCATCTCCAGAGAAGGTAAAATTCTTCTTAATAGTGTCGAAAATTTAAAGTAAATAGATTCAAGTTTGAAAAAGAAATTGCGTTATGATTTTAAATTCAGAAAGTGGTAGTTAATGATAACTTTCAAGCCCATTTTCTGAGCAAAAAAATAAATAACGATAACTGTTTATAATTTTAACAGTTTGTATAATTTACTTTGCAGAAGAAAAATAATTTATTTCTGCATAGATTCCGAAAATCTTAACTTCAACTAATTCAGTGATTCAACTGAGCTAAATTACTGATACATTTGTAATTATAATGCCAAATCCATTTTATTGATTCAATTTATCCAATTTACAACTGAAATTAAAGCCATTCCGTCTAGATTTTTTCAAGATTTTATATCTTTCTGCAATTGGCAGTTTTTTTAAAAAAAATAAAAGCAATTATTCTAAATTTTTAATATTTATAAGTAATAAAGAACGTTAAAAATGAGATGAACGCTTAAACAATTCCACAGCATATATTAGAAGAATGATTACAATCAAGGATAATTTTAAGCACACAGATCAACAATTTAAAGCAATTATAACAATACAATACAGAACAGAAAACGAAAAACCATGCATTTATGATATAAATAAAAATATTGTACATGCATTACGCAAATATACATGCAATGACAAATAAATGCATTGCAATAAAATATTCACCAGTATTTCCAATATTTTCAGTACTTTTCGACTATGAAATGAATTTTTCAACTCAAAGGTAAATATTTTTTGGAAGTATGAAATACACCTATTTAACATAACTATAAATTATTATTATTATTGCATTCTTCATATGAGCATAACTCTATTTTACCAGAAATTGTTGATATCCATGTATATGCCCACATTGCCCATCAATGCATAACCAAGTCCTGGTTTAGTAGGCGTCAAAGCAATATTTATAAGAATTTTATGATATGTATTTTCGAATCAGAAGATCAAGTTGTTAAATTTGCTTGACAGCTTAAATAAACCTTACGTGTACTTTTGACTCAGCCAAACTTGTTCAGTTGATGGTAGCATACTCCACTATGTCTTAGCCAATAAAAGGACCTAATAAATATACACTCACAGTTTACAGTCAATAAATAAAGCCACTAAACTTTATTTGTCTTCCTACTAAGTGCTTTCCAAGAAAGAGACAAAATTTTGATTTTGGCGATAAAACATAATACATTTAGAAATTTAAGCTGTGAAAATATTTGACCAGCAAGCAGTGATGGAGCGAATTGAACTGACAACAAAACCGATGAATCAGGATTCTAAAGCAATATATCCTTACAAAAAGCATTATCTCCTATAAGAACTAATTAAACACGCATGCCACTCAAGCAATGTGTGTTATTATCCAACATGATTAATGCCAAAGAAAACAATCAAAATATTCATTGAAAAAATGTATACAACTTTAAATACAGAATGTACCATGGTCACTTAAGAGGGTGCAATTCATCATGAAAAGTTTTCTTGGTAGCTGAATCACACAAGTATTGATAGAGAACCACATATAATGCAAAACTATATTGCCTCTGGAATACTTGAGTTAAGTAAGTTCTCAAGACAAAATAAAGATGTAGAACAACAATTGAATGCGATATTTTTAGAAAAGAACTAGCTGAAATAGATAGTTTGATTAATATTTAGGAATGTCTTTTAGGAATGTCTATAGTTTTAATAAACCTACCTGCTGCTTGGAGAATATATAGTTACTTTTACGTCCATGTCAACGGAATGTATCTCGGCGCACCAGGTGAGACAGAGTATCCTCATGAGTCTCGTGCCATAAACATCCATAGGAGCTCTTTTATACGTCCACGCCAACATTAAATGGCAGTGCACCGAGTGAGACAGAGGAAGCCTCATGAGTCTCATGTCATCAGAAACCTAAATAGAAGTGGCATCCAAAGGAAGATTATTTTACATCATTATTCTTCGGTAGATGATCGTCTATAGACGAACACAAAGCAAACACATTTCTTATTCACCCATAAGTTAATAGTTATTTTTACTTTTCAAGGTTGCCTTTGCGTAGTTACCATTGTTGCATAGGGTTATGCTATAGTACAAGATGTTGAAAAAATTAGCTATCATTACTAGATCATTATCTTATAGAGTTCAAATTGTCACTGTAATTACTAAATTAACTTTCTGGAGGAATATTCGAGTCTTACGGTGCAACATGATTAATTTTTTATGTGTCATACATGGCGTTCATTACAGGATTGCCTTTCTTAGTTACCATTGTTTCATAAGGTTATGCTATAGTGCAAGGTGGTTTAGTTATCATTATTAAATCATTATCTTAAAGAATTCAATATCTCACTGCAATTACTGCTTTAACTTTCCAGATAAATATTCGAGTCTTACGGTGCAATATGATTAATTTAATATGGACCTTAGATGGTGTTCATTATAGGGTTGCCTTACATAATTTACCGTTGTTCATTGGGTTATGAAATAGTACAAGGTGTGGAAAAAATAAGTTATCATTATTAGATCATAATCTTATTGAATTCATTGCCTCACAGTAATTACTATGTTAACTTCCTGGATAAATATTCAAGTTTTTGGGGATTAATTTAATGCTCACCTTACATGGCTTTCATTACAGGGCCTTACATAGTTTACCGTTGCTTCATATTATATTAAAATACAAGATGTAGAAAGAAAAAAAAGTGCTATTATGAGATTACCTAATATCTTTCAGTATCACTCGAATTCACTATGCTAAATTTTAGGATTAGCATTAGAGTTTTACAGAAGGTAACATTATTAAATTACATGGTTAATATATTAGTAAGATTAAAGATACTTTAAACTAGATTCACGGTTATCATTATAGTTTTACCATACTACGATTATCATAACAACTGTGCAATCATATATAGCGATTATTATACCTTTACCCAATAGAGTTAACAACTCAGAGCTGTAATAAAAAATATAATTACTGCTCACTTGGTTATTATTACAGTTAATGCTTAATGGCTATTCTTATATGTGTAATTATGATCACTGCATCCTGTGCGTATAGCTACTTATTAAGGGACTATATTACAGATTTGTAATTATTATATTATCTTACATTTGTATCCCATGTGGTCTAACGATAAGGTATATATTTACAAGATATTGCAAATTTTACTCAAATGATATTACAGGGTTATCTTATATAGGAAAAAAAATATGAGTATCCTGCATTTTTCTAATCTTTTCGGAAAGAAAGTAAATATTTTGTTTATAAAAGAACAAACATTAAGAAAAGAAAAATTCATTGTTGAAAAAATTTATATGCACATAAACTTTAGTTGGTAATTTTTAAAAATTTAGATTAATTGTAATCTCAGGTAAAATATTCATGGCAAAAACAAACTATTGGTCTTTTTACTAAATGGTATTGAATTTATATTTCACAATTGTACGTCAAGCTATTCTATTTTTAAGGCAAAGATGAGATAAATAAAAATTACCTATTATTCAGTGAAGATTAGCTGCAATTACAAAAGTGAAACTTTTCGTAATGAAGCACAAACAAACAAAATATTCAGAGTATTTAAAAAATTCCGTCATTAAAAAGTCAAAACTGTCAGTTACTTGGTACGATTAATTAGTCTAGAATCGTTGCATATCACTAATTATTTATATTAACACTGATTATTCCTATCGACATTCCTATTATCACTAATTATTTGTATTGTCTGTCATATTATCACTAATTATTAATAAAATTCAATAATCAGTAAAAATTATCGGTAATCAGTAAAAATATAATTAAAAACATTAAGTTTCCTATACTTTACAAATAATGTAGTGATATCGAAAAAATAAAAATTTACTCCAAAATCGAATTCCAACTGAAATATCTCAATTGATTTGTTGAACAAGTAAAAAAATTATGAAAAGCAATAATAATAATGTTTATATATCATTCTCTACTTTTTAAAATTCGCAGAATTTAGTTTTATTTTGTATTAAATTTTAATGTTAAAAAGTAGACTCTATTTTAATAAAGATAGCTCATAGTATAATCTATTTATTTCCTAATGAGTTAATAGTCAAACTGCTATCATTTTTATAGCTTTAATTAAAATAATTATTATTATTTAACAAAATGAAGGTTTTTAATAAATTATTCAAGTTATTAGTCTTGACAACTTACAAAGAATTACAATTAAGTTGACTACACATAAAATAAGAAGTCAAATTTTTCATATAAATAATTGAGTATTTTTAAATGAATTTATTTCATTTCTCATTATCTTAAATGTCATTAAATTAGTCTCTAATTCTAAAAATCATTTTTTTTATTATAGTATGATCAATTTTTTAATGACTTAATGGTCAAACTGATATCACTTTTAAAGCTTATTGATAATTGAAATAATTATTATTATTTAACAGCATGAAATTTTTTATTAATCTTGACAACATACAAAATGGAAGTCAAATTAAGTTGACTGCATATGAAATAAGTACTCAAATTTTACATATGGATGATTCAATATTTTTAAAAGAATTTATTTCATTTTATATTACCTTAAATATTATAAGCTAGTCTCTAATTTTAATTTTTATAATAACGTGATCAATTTATTAATGACCTAATAGTTTAATACTTAATGTGAGAAAATCTTGTTAATTACTTACTAAATTTTTATTAATTACATCTGAAAATTATATTGATTTTTTAATAAATTTATATTAATTAGCTAAATAAACGCTTTTAACGCATAAAACATAATATCAAGAAACCGTCAGTAAGAAATCAAACGAAAAAAACTACCTGTTCGCGAACATGAGTATTGCTGTTATGATTCCTTAGAGTCTCGTCGTGATTGAAAGTTATTAGAACTGCATAGACACAGGTGCAGCAAAGTTAAGTAACGTCATTTCTGGAAAGATTTTATTTCTCCAATACATCCAATTGATCTTATAAATACTCTATAAGTAGTTAAATTTTATGAGACTTGTGTACTAGTAGTTAACTTAGCTGGAGAATAATCTTGACAAAAATATTTTTTTTTTAAGATTTTGCGAGTTACCGATTAATATCGAGTAGAAACAGAGTTTCTCCAAGAAAATTATTTGAAATTTAGCATTTATTTTCGGCCTAAAATCTTAGTGTGATTCGTTAATCAAAAATTGATTAGGAGATTTTGTGAGTACTTAATTCTTGAGGAGGAAAAGCTTATTAAAAGTTTTTGATTAGATATTTGGACTAGCATTTATTTTCTGTCTAAAATATTAATATGATTCGTTAATAAAAAATTTATTAAAAAATTTTGCTAGTGTTTAATTCTTCAGGTGGAGAAACTTATTAAAAATTCTTGATTGGACTATTGATTTAGCATTTATTTCTTGTCTAAAATATTAACGTGATTCGTTAATCAGAAATTGATTAACAGATTATGCGAGTGCTTAATTCTCGAGGTGGAGAAGCTTATTGAAATTTTTTCATCAGGTTACTGGTTTAGCATTTATTTTCTGTCTAAAATATCAATGTGATTCATTAATATAAAAAAATTTCAGAGATTTTACTGGCACTTAATTCTTCATGTGAGGCAGCCTATTAAAAATTTTTGATTGGTTTATTGGTTTAGTATTTATTTTTTATCTATAATGTTAATGGCGATCCATTAATCAGCAATCTACTGAGAAATTTTGAGCGTATTTAATGCTTGAATATTGAATTGAGTAAGATTAGAAGATTATTAATATATTTCGGTTTGAAACGCTTAGATAAAATAAATAACAAAATTGTTCAATCAATAATAAAATTAATAGTTTAATTTAATAAGAATTTTTTTTTAGTTTAATAATAATAATTATTTCAATTATTACTTAGCTATAAAAAAAACTAGCTGTTTGACCATGAACTCATTCAGAAATAAATAAGTTATGCTGTGAGCTTAACTTTATTGAAATAGATTCTTATTTTTAACCATTATAACATCAAACATTTACACATAATAAAACAAAATGCTGATCACGAAAAAACGCTATTGATTTTTAATAAGCTTTTTAAGACTCTTCTAGAAAACAGCGAGCTAGTACATAATATATAAACTGTAACAAGGAACAGCGAGCTAGTACATTATATCTAAATTATAACCAGGAACAAAGAGTTAGTACACAATATCAAAACTTTAACAATGATAACTTGCATAATTTTTTAATCCATAAATGAAATTTTTTATTTGAATTGTATATTTTTATGGTAGTACTATGATTTACAATTTTCAAAGATTCAAGATATTTTGAAAACATTTTTATACAGATGAAAAGTCAATTTTTTATTAATGAAATGTTGAATTTAATAAATAACAGTTCTAACATAATTAATAATTTAAAATAATATAATAATAATCAAAAGAAATCTGATTTGCGTTAGTGAAAAGAGGACAGTCAAATGTTTACTTTTGAATGAAGGTTTAAATCTTTATTTTTTTTTTTCGTTATTAGATATGATGAAATGTAAAAATTCAATAATGCAAAAAATATTGTAAACATTTTTGCTAGTTATAAAATTCTCTACTTTAATTTAATATAAAGTAACTTAGAAATACTTTAAAACCTAAGATGCATCTTAGATTTAGGTATTTTTTTTAATATCTTAGATTTCCGCTCGCTAGTTGAATATATATACATTTACATACTTGCAGTAAATATTCCTATTATATTTCAATTCGATTTAAGTATAAATTCGTGCATGTTAGATTTAGATAGCTGACATAAAAATACATCTTAAATTTAGAACATCTGAAACTATACATTTGATATAGATGTATGTGTATATATATAAAGCGAAAACAAACATTAGATAAGTACGAAAAATAGTTTTAAAATTTGAAGTTAGATATTTAATTGATTGAAATATTATTTATAGATAACGTCACTGTTTTAATTTTATCTCTTTAAACCCTTAAAAGTACCGATACATTATTTTAAACAGATTGATAAAATTATTTATTATTAAAATATTCAATGCAAACAAGAATTTCTGCCAAAAATCTATTATATAATTTTTTACTACACTTATCAGCAACTTCCATAAATATCTAGATTTTTAATGATTATTCAAATGTTCTATCATCACTAACGATTAATTTAATCAAAGTTTATTTATACTTTTGATCAATAATAAGTAAAAGTGCCACCCACTTAAATATATTGCGCAGTTTGCATAATATTTTGTGTTAAAACAAGTTCTGACTGGTTTATTTTGTAAGACTTCATTTGAGTGAAATATGTTCTTATTGATGGAACTGTCATTAAAGCTTTCATTCTATTTTAATAAAAGAGTTAACAACGTTTTATCAGTTTTTCATTTTTATCTGTTAGATCAAAATAAATTTGAATGAAAATCATTATTGTAGACGTAAACTGCTTACATAAACTACCGTATTAAGAAATTTTCATTGCATATGCATTAGGCTAATTGAAAATTCCTGCTTTTAAAGACAGTAACCACCATTTTGTAAGGCCCCAATCTAATTGGAAAAGTTCAGAATTCAGCCTGACATTTTTTAGGCTTATTGCAAAAAGCCTGTATACTTTTAAGCTATTTCTCAACTGTGCAAAAAATTACTCAATCAGACTGAATTTGTCTCGGGTTTCTGCAATAAACCTCTATTAAGGTTATTTACAATAAGCCTTCACTGAGCTGCGGTGGCTCAAGGATGATATAACGTTCTTCTCCAGGTGAGATGACCCAAGTTCAAAACCCAAAGTTGGCTGATTGGTATACGGATCGTGGAATCCCTTTGCCATCAGGCTAACCGTAGGATGTTTTCTATGCTTCCCCTTACATTTAACATAAATGCGGGTTTGTTCTATCAAGAAATCCTCCACAAAGTCTGGTTTGT